TTTGTCTTTTTTCCGTGTCCGGCAACGGATCGCAACCCTCAGTGTTGCCCCCGTACCGGACCGGGGACCGGCAACGGGATTGCAACCCTCGGTGTTGCTCCCCCGCCTCGCCCAGCCAGTGAGCGGGAACCGGTCTGTACGTGGGATCCGAACCCTCGGGCGGGAGCACCGCTGTGCTTCCCAAGCGGCGCACTATCCAGTGCGCCACCGGGCCGGCCCAACATGTGTGTTTTAAAACTGACTACATTACTTCATTACTTTCATTTTCTGATATTATTAAATTAACAAGAGGCAGTGTTAAATATTTTGAATGGTGCTATAGCCAATGGGTTTGGATTCCTGCACTGCTGGTTGTGCATCATAAATATGAACTTTTTATTCAGTAACTAGGCTTTATTTACATCCAAGTTACCTGCTCACTTCAGTTTGTACAGTTATTTGTTGACTTACTGTATTTATGGAAGTGGTGACTTCTATCAAGTCAGAAGTTCCCATTTTATAAAAATAGAGTAAGGCCTGCTTGCAATATTCATATTGACAATAGAATAAAAGAGAATGCTATAAAGAATTACAGCAAAGATTTCCTGTTTGTTATTATTTACTGCTTTTTGAAAATATTATATAAAGGGTTAATTGTACATTTATCTCCTATGCTTTATAATTTCCCCTCATATCCAAGTGATTTTTGTTTACATAAAACTAAATAAATTTTGTTCTCTTTAAAGATGGTCAGTGAGTGTTTGTATAAAATCTGTCTGTATAAAATTCCCTTTGGCCTTAAAGGGAATACTCCTAAAATGTAGCTGATGATTGATAATCTGTTTCATTCTTGCCCCTGGAACAGTGTTTCTCTAGGTGTGGTCACAGAACCACCGGGAGAGAAGCACCTTGTTAAATGTGCTGAGTCCAAATATTAAATTTAAAATGGACACACCTTTTAATTCAGCAACTGCATTTCCTGAATTTTTTTTTCCTACCTATAAACACAGACAAATGAACAAGGATTTTTTGCTTTGTTGTTTGTTACACAAAGACTGGAAATAATTTAAATGTCCATAATAGGGAGCTGCTAAAGTATGGTATAACCATACAGTGGAATTTATGCACTTATTTTTTAAAAAGACAGATCTATGTGTAGAACAGGAAATAGTCTCCAAGATATTTTGCTGAAAGAAAAAAATCAAGATACAGTAATATGTTTAATATGCTCCCAGATATGTTTTTGTTAACAACAAAAAAAGGTCCTTTAAACATATATGGGCTTATATACGTATAGAACATTTCTAGGAAGAAACACAAGAAAGTATTAACAGTGGTTGTCTCTGGGGAAGAAAATTTGGGGACTGAGGTGGTTCTGACTTTTTTCATTATGCATACAATGATTTTTCAATTTAAACTTGTATCCAAAATTATTTCAAATGCAGATTCGTAGGCCTACTTAAAACCTAGAGAATTGGAATCTTGGTGGGTGGGGCCAATCAATCTGCCTTATTTAGATAAGCTTATCAGTGGACTCTCACACTGCAATTAGAGACCCACTCTCAACATATTTAAGAGCAGAATATTCCAATCAATTTCAAATACTCATCCTGACTCTCTCAAATTGATTATTTCCTTTTTGACAGCATTCTGGTCAATTACTATCTGTGCAGCACTCATAGTGTCTAATAGTTTTATTCTACTAAGTCTTTGACCTTACACGGTCCTTTTCCAATCAACAGATGTAAACTGAGCATCTATAGGAACAAGGCAGGCTGATGTAGAGTCCCTGCCCTCAAGTAGCCTGCATGCATGAGTAAGCTATTACAGCCCACTAAAAGTGAGATTTGATAACTAAGCTAAGGGAAATTTGACTGATAACTAGTTTAAATGAATGTGTAATTGACGATATGAGAGATGCAGAGAAGTTCAATAAAATGGGTGAAGAACCATCACTAGGAATGACCACTTGTCAAATGAAAGACAGACTACATGCGGTAATACTTGCCATTCCCACACTCTTGGGTCCCTAAGTCCTCTTTACACTATTAAAAAACCAATGACAACCCCCAAATATTTTGTTTTTGCA